GGAAAGCATGGCTTATGGACCCACGGAGCGCAAGGGTTCAGGTGCGCGCAGTCGACTTGGTGTTCTGCCCTGAAGTCCCTAGCTGACTACTGTGTTTTGAGGATAGGACACACCGGCCTTGTGCTAAATTCCAAGGTGATTAGGGTTAGAGTCAGGGTTTGCGTTAGGGGTTAGTATATGAACACGGGGAATAGATACCATTCCAGGCAGCAAATCAACAGCGAAGCCAAAGACCTTAAAGTAAAAAAGCGTTTGGTGAATTCCAGACTACAAGGAATCTGAATTTCAATGAATTCATCTGATACGGCTCAAGGGGATAGAAAAGTTGCTCTACCCAGGTTCTGAGGAAAATTCCTGTGGGTATAGCATCCCATCTGATCTCTTCATTTCTTAAAAGATTTTTTCAAAGATGACCTAGCTGTTGTAGCCAGACTAACACAGAAGCAGTCTCTCGAAAAGCCGATGCCTTAAATTTGAGACAAGCTGGAGAGGCATAACAGCAAGCGACTTTTTGACTGAGAGAAAACATTGTAGTCCGAAAGCGCAGCGCAGCTGGGAAGAAAGATAAGAGAGAGAGAGAGAGAGGCAGTCACGGAAACAACCATGAAAACTGAGAGACACCAAAATTATGGTCCTATTGAAGCAGTTGAATGAAACTTCTTATAGTTTAGCATATTCCGGCGGAGGAAATGAAATAGACAAAAAAGCCAATTCGCAATTCATCACTAACTGCCGACTGCTGCAGTTACCGCTGGTCCCTATACTACTACTACTACTACTACTACTACTACTACTACTACTACTACTACTACTACTACTACTACTACTACTACTACTACTACTACTACTACTACTACTACTACTACTACTACTACTACTACTAATACATCGATTACGATTATTACCAATTTTGCCCTCGATGGGATTAGTTCGGAAGTTACCGTGACTAATCCCAATGATACTGCTTGAAAATAAAGCCGCATCAGACTTCTGCTTGCAGGATTTTGTCCTTTTTATGGAGCAGCATCACAAGTTCCCGCAATAATGCCTACTTTGTAAAGCGCCTATCCTGTTTTGTTTCCCCACTGTAACAACTCTTTTGTTTGAGTGGAGGAGCGCGCCAACCCGGTCCACTTGTGAGAGGATGGAGGGGCGGGCGGTGATGACAGCGCCCATTCTGGCGGTGATTTACGTACTCTGTCGCCGAGTCTCTCCCCCCTCCTCCCACCACCCCCCCCCAACCCACCTCCTACGGAAGCGGCGGTCTTTTTAAAGATAGTCCAGCCTGTTAGTCACCGGCGCTAGTCAGGTACAGACCTGAAGGCAAAAAAAACAAGATTGGTCGTGGAACCATCACAAAGGGAGCTTTTTCTCGGTACAACTACATAAACCGGTACTTTGAAGAGTGTTGGCAGTGGAAGTATAGTGCGCCCTAGGCAACCTGTGCGGCGTACATGCCCATCGTGATACGAGACCAGACGTTGCCAGCGTGTTTTCGTCGCACCTGAAGGTCACCATCCTAAAATAACCAGTAAGGTTGAGCCCTAACCCAGGGACTTTTCAGGCTACCCCACCTCAGGATTACCGTAGGGAGCATAAGATTTCCAGGTGCTAGAGAAGAACCCGCAAACAATAGGACTGTGATTGGGGCCGGTTTTACCACATACTCTCGGGATATCTAGTAATCTGTTCCAGATAAGACAATTGTGGTTCACCTCACCGGTCTTCTGTGAGGACTAGTGTTTACTACAACCCTGGCTTGGTGGATAATAAACAAACTCCTCTGTCCTTGCCAAGACAGGCTCTTAGCAGTGGATATTGAAATAAAGAAACTGTTTACTATCCTGGAAACTGGAATCTAAGACCCATAGGGGTCCCGCTACAATAACTCGACAACCAATCATCGTCCGGTTGTGAGCCACCAAATGGCTGTTTAGTACAAACTCGATTCAAAACAATAATTTGCCTGGGAGTTATCAGAGAAAACAAGGAAAATGTTCGGAATACGACTTAGAATCAAGTGGCAACTTTCATGTCAACACTTAGGTTAACTAATGTTTGCACCCGTCATTTGGAACGCATGTTGGAGAGACCGGTCACACTTTCTGACTTTCGAGGTGCTATCTTCCTAGACCGAGACGGCACGAAGAAGAGGTGGCGCACTAAAGGCGTGACTCTTAATTTTTAGTTAAAGAATCGAGCACATCCGGGGGAGGGGAGGGGAGGGTAGAGTTCAACTTATGTTCCCACCTGCCACGTAGGTCGTTGTTAGCACAAAAGTGAAATCATTTCAGCTTTCACGGGCACTCGTTTGCACAATTTCCGTTTGGGAGGGCAAAGCTCTCCTGGCTGAAAATGGAAGATTTGGCTGAGACGAACCAAATCCGATCGACTTCTCCTAGCTGATGATTAGGCTGGTGGGACTGGCCAATGCGACCTCCAGACCCACGAACTCATTTCCTTCGGTCTTTGCACTCGATGTGGCAACAGTTAAGACCTAGCAGTCAACCACTGGCTGTAAATGCAAGGACAGTGTCTGATCTGACATTCCTATCACATGTTTATGACCACTTAGGCTGGCTACGTTCTCAGGTTAGTAAGCATAGGAGATCCGGGTTGATAGTCTGAGATATGTGTAGGGCTCATCAGATCAGTGGAATTGCATGGCGGACCCACGACTGTTGCAGACCGCTAGATTAGGCATTGCCCATCACTCCCGGGCAGCAATTCGTTGTCGTTTGATGTAACACAAAGAAACACTGCCACACACTGAAACCTCAACAGTCGTCTATGAAATATGCTGTAACAGTAGGGACTACAAATACGTTGGGGAAGCCTGACGGAAATTGCAGACCCGCCCACACGAACACAAACCGGCAACCTGGAGACTAAACCTGGCTCTCGAGGAGCAACCGTCTTAGGCCGGGCACCTCATGGACAGAACGCCTCACACTTGTGACCTGGCATTCAAATGTCAACTCCATCAACGGACAGCCCAGACCTTCCTGTGACCTATAGAGTCCTACGTCACTACACATGTCATGACCAGGAGAAGGTGGTCACACGGACCTTAAAAATACCGAGCAAATACGGTCCGTCGACTAATCCACCCCAAAGAGGAGCACAGGTGTGACCGAGCCCCATTGAGGTGACGACAAACAACGCAGAAGGCCGCCAAGATTCACAAACAATGGCCAGAAGGCCAAGGCAACGAAAGAAGATGAAAATCGATCAGCCCTAGGCTAACTAATTCGGTCTTTCGTTTAAAATTCCGGTCGATTTTTTGAACAAGACGCCCTGATACTGGAGAGCTGACCAAGGCCTCGGAAAAGTCAGCCGGGCAATTCCTGTGATCCGATGGGCCCTACGCGTTTCTCTGACTACGTTCTATTCAGTTCAAGACTACGTATCGATGTGAATAAAAACAGGTCCGTAAGTGACGCCGAAACCATCAGGGTTCTTAGATCGGTCAGGTTTTTGCACTCAGGTGCCTGAAGACCCACTCTTAATCATACTCAGGTAATTCTGTTCCAGAGAAATGTGGTTTAAAGTTAGAGCGAAACTGCGTGTGTAGAGCTATGACGGCGTAAATCCAGTTTCGCTACTGAACCTGGACTGAAAGAGTAAACGACAGATAATGATCTCTCAGCACTTTTAATGATTTGACACAGTTGGGTGCTCTACAATTCAAGATGCGAGGCAGCTCGAGATCACTCGACAATTAGCAGTCCCTTCATTAAAGGGGCTATCCGACCCTCGAGTTGACCAGAGCAGATCGCGAGAGCCACTGCATCAAAGTAACGATTTCAATGAAATATTATGTCAAGTGCTGGTGACGGGGGTGAATGTTACCGAATTAACAAAATTGTTAGCAGACGACTCTCTGTGTCGGGTACTTCTATTTACGATATGCATGTCCGTCTTATGGTAAACAACCTGGCCGAGGTTAACATAACACTATCATTTTGAATGCTTCGCAGCTCTAATGACCATTTCCTCCTTGGAAAGGGAAATTTCCACTTTTCTTTTCCATGAATTGTCATGTGATGACCTCCCAACACACAGGACCGCACTGATACTATCTTGGGACTGGGAAGGAAACCGCCCAGGACGGATAACGTTCATTATACAACATATGACGTCCTGGAACATTCTAGACGACTAGACTTTGGTCAGACTTTTCACTGTTACCCAGAAGGGGAGTGTGAATAAACGACAGCTGTTTGACATGATTATATAGGATATTTGA